ATATAATGATCCTAAACTACACCAAATGCATCCCTTTTACTGTAAAGAAGTTTCTTGGTATGTTTTAAAGCTGTGAGAAGACCACACTTGGAGATATTACATAGTTAAATAAATACAAAAGGAAAAGTCATTTGTGGTTTTTACTCAATGTGCTCCAAGGGCGAAGGGTAAGACTGTGTCTCCAGTTCTACTTTGTTGTCGTGTCTCTCTAAATTCTTCAAAGTAAAGAAATCCCCACTGAACACCACAGAGGAATTTCTGTCACGTCTGTTCTGTGGAGAACACAGGTATGATTAGATCGGTCTGGCAAAAATGCCCTTTCTACAGCAGATATCTGGAAAACATTCTTCTGAAGTACAGATGCCATAACCTTGGCATTTATCAGCTCTGGACAGAATATTTTTATCCCAGAAAGAAATCCTTCCCACTGTTGTGAAATTCTGGTATCAATCCTGCCACCCCTTTTATAATCGCAAAAAGTATGTGAAATATCCCTGGACCTCACTTCTCAAGCTTCTTTAATGAAATGGAAGCTAAAAGGTGACTGAGGACTATAATTGGCAAACTACAGAGAAGTGAAACATTTCCATTCCAGCAGTCTAGGACACAGATTTAGCGTTTTAGCATTTTGTCTGATGCTATGAAAGATTTATAACACAGAAATGTGACATTTCAGAGAGTGTGACCCAGCCTTGAATGATGATGGAAATTAAAATTACTGTCATGTTTAAAACCTTAAGGCTTGGACACACTAGCAACTTCTGTCACAAGTATCAAGACCGACAGCTGTTTCCGCCATATCACCCACTACACTGGGGTGCTCAGACAAGAAATACACAATCAACAAGCCAGTACCATGCAGGCAAAAAAAAAAAGAACAACAAATAACTGTGCTTTTATTACATAGGAATAACTTAAATGCTAGGTGATGACTATAATGTGGATGTTACCTCTTGGGAAATAGGCCTTTGTCACTGCCCTTCTGCTGAGCAGGCAACGTAAATGTATTGAAAAGCCATATATTCACACCCTCTGAGCTGGGCTCTAATAGTTTATTGCAATTATGTTGCTTAACTGGCACACCTCTGAGACTGCAGTCCAGCCCATAACGACAATGGCTGCATTTATTTTCAGAGACCCCGTGCTGTGATGAGAGCATAGCCTTCACTTTCAGGCAAAATGCAATCTGTCTCTCTTAGAGAACAGGAGTCCGTAAGCAGTATGAGGTCACAAGGAAGGGCAACAAATGGGCTCTAAAACAGGATTTAGAGCCTTTCAATCTAACAAGTATCTCTTCATCCATAACACTGATCCTGTACGAGCAGATGAATGTAGAGGGTGAGGCCTAAGTCACTAAAAGGAAGTTACAGTGTGGTGAAAAAGGACACTTTTTATGTTTTCATGTATTTCGAGATCATCTGGTTCTTACTAAGTCCTAACAGTAGATAAAACTCAACTTTTTGGACGACTAACACACATAAATTCCATTCGGTCATTGTTTACATATTAATGAAAAATTATTTTAAATCGGCCGGAATTTAACACCTTCAGTAAGAGCGCTCCACGAGTCAGCAACTTTTCCTGAAGGAAGAACATCCAGATAGAAACGGCTATCGCTATTGCCCACGGTGGCGGCAGTCGGCTTCACTCACGGGAACTCTGCCCTGTTGGACGTCTTGGGCACAGAACCTGGCTTCTGCCAGGAGTCAGAAGCTTCTCAAGGAACAACCAGAGAATGCAAAGGATGTGAATGATGCGAAGCCACTTAGAGTGGCGATGGCCCGGCAGAGTCGATAAGACGCACAGAGGAGAATGGTCAAGAACCGGCCTAAGAGAGCAGAACTCAGATCCGTGTTGGATCAGGCGCCCTCAATATCTTCTACTACATAAAAGCATGAAGGAGAGGATGTCAAACTTGTTAAGCCACACCAACACCAGGAGAGGTAATTCATGTCCCACGGGGAAGAGTTTCTACTGAGCAGGAGCTGCTAGAATGACGGCCGTCATTTCGGAGAATGACCCGGCAGCGTGCATAATGAGACGGACTGCTCAGGTTCGGAGAAGCACCCCGTGAAAGAGTGTGACCTGCCCATCCCAGCAAATCAGTTCGGTCTCATTCCTGTTGGGCAATGGCAATGAGCTTCCAGATTAGTCTCATAAGAGAGAATGTGTGGGGTTGGCGATACAACAAGGTCCTATTGCACAAATCTGCTATAGGAACTTCCCGAAGAGCTAACAATCACATTTTTCTTGAAAGCTGAGCCTTTGGAGTTAACGCACCCTATTTCTGTAATAGGTTTATAAAAGATATACTACTAGAATAAAATAATCACTGCTTTCCTATAATTCAATTTTACCTGAGTTATATTAAGCAGGTATATACGTCTAAAGTTTGTAAATAAGGTTGTAAATACATTTGTAATTTAAGCTGTGACTACTTACAGTTTAGAGTAAAACAAAAATCCAAAGTGCATTTTATTCTCCTGCTAGCATCTTTCCATATCAATATTAAATACAACATGGCTTTAAAAATGTATAAAATGTTTCTAAAAGAAAAATCAACATAGGGGTGGGCGGTATAGACGGTGTACCAGTAAAAATATGTGCCACGATATGGATTCGGCTATACCATTTATACAGGTAGAGAATGGATTTTGATGTTTACATAGATTGCACTGCCAGCATCGTCGCAAAATGGGGTTTGGACATTTTTACTATTGACCCGTCACAGTTAAAAATTCTGCCGTATTTTAGCTCCAGTTATACAATTCTGAAAATGTTCATCTTGCTGATATTTGGAAATCTGATCTGGTTCAGAATGATTGATCTTCAGTGGGTCAAACGTTTATGAAGCGTTTGAGGTTATGGTAGCCAATAAAAACACGCGGGCGTCCTCTTCCCTTTTCCGTGAAAACAAACGCACGTGGTTGGTGCTCCCGTCTGTCAACACGTACGCGGAGACGTGGAGAGAGGCAGCGTTAGCGAGACGGGAACAAGCCACGAAGTTGTTAAAAAGAAGGGTGTGTCGTCGGTCGTTTGGAAATGGTTCGGATTTAAAAAGTTGGACCACGAGCAGAAAACGGTTATCTGCAAACTATGTCGGGTGACGATTTTAGCTAGAGGCAGTAATTAACAAGTGACCTCTTCTATCACTTAAAGACGAAGCACGCATGCGAATATGAGGAAAGTATGAGACCGCGCTCCGAATCAAGTAGTTCTAGTGTCGGTGTGAAAAGACACAGCTCAGACATTGCTGCCTGAGTCATTAACTAGTCGTTGTCCTTATGACAAGAAAAGCCAGCGGTGGAAGGACATTACACATTACTTCAATGTGAAATTTCAAAAACACTAAAGGAACAACACAGTAGCTAACCAACAGTTAATAATAATCTAATAACTCCAGGCAATATAAACTTACTATCCAAGTCTTGTACTCCTTTTAAAGCATGACATTTCTATTGAAATTATGATTATTTTCTAGTGAAAATTCTATTAAAAAATTATATATCGTGATATACATCGTTACTGTCCAAAATTAAAATTATCAACATATATCAACATAATTCCAAATGCCAAATTAGACAAAAAGAGTGGTATTTTAAATGACAAAGTTTCAAAACTTGAGTCAGAGTATCAAGTCACAGTTTCAAAAATGTACGAAATGGTCATGAAAAGGGACAATTCACGGCTGACGTGCCTGTGAACATCTGGTATCTCTGATTCGCTGAGGAGCAGCGCCGTGAAGTTATCATTTGTGGGATTATGCCTGATAACCTTTAAGTCTGGATCTCCCTTAAACGCCACGTTGCCAGTGAAGTAATGACAGTGGTCACACGGGGGAACAAGATGGAAAAGACCTCTTTCTGGCTTACTTGGTGGCATTTCAAAAAGTTGCCATGAGATCAAGGTCTTGGAGCACACAATATCGCTTGGGGGTGAAACTGAAATTAATTAAATTGACTTTTACTGTGAGTTATTCCATAATAATTTTATTTTATTTTCAAAAACCACAACTTAATAAAATTAGTTGATCCTGATGTACTTCTAAGCTCCACAGATCTAACCATGATGCTGTGTTTTCACGTCCACTAATACTCCTACAAGTGGCGGACAATGGTAAACGGAAACAACTGGGTCACCAAGTATATTACCGTGAGCAAAGAACACCCCAGCATGCTTTGGGTCAAGCATAGAAATGCTGGAAAGATGTGACTGCCTATAAATATGGCTGCAAGAGGATACTTCAATGACTTTGCGTATTGTGGGAAAGAGCTTCAGTGACCAACATAGATGAACTTCCTAAAACTGAGGTTTCACGAGCACCAGTGTCTAAGATGATGTCAGTATGAAACTCATCAACAAAGGGTAAATGAAGGACTTTGATATTCCTGCATTAGTTCAATTCAGTTAATTTGTCATATGCACAAGTGCAATGAAATGTTTATTTGCATGTATGCTCAAAGTGCAAGACAAAACGGGCAAGCAAATGCAAAGCAAGAGACTGCACATTTCAACCTTGGATGCTAGCTGCTTGTTTCATCGAAACAGTATCACAGAGTAAGACCATAATTTCCTACTATGAGACATATTTCTTTTCGGGTTTAATGTGTATTGAACCTTTAACATGACATTTCTGAAGTAACGTACTCTATAACAATTTTTCTTCTACGGACTGTGTATGTCTTCTCTCCATTTTTCACAGATATAAATTATCCATTATCTTTTATCCATCAATTATCAATTAACAGTCACCATATTGTGATTGCAATTCCCAGGTAGTTCTACCACATCTGCTGGTTTCATTCAATCCTGGATGTTTAAACAAAATAGCATCTGCCCTAGAAACTACCTTTACAAAAAGTTGAAGAAGCGGTCTTAAACATTGATTACTTTCAACGACATGAATTTCCATTCTCACATTTCCCTGTGCAGTACTAATTCCTGGTGTCCAACAGTTTGAGGGATATCCACACCCTTCCAAAAAGAAAAGATGGTCTTACCTGCAGCTTCTGTAACCAATATTGTGGGGACCTTCACTGTTTGCTCTTCTTCAGGCATGCTGACATGTGGCATCAGGGAACTATCTGCCAGGCTGTACTGAGAAGCGTCAGGAATGGATTCAGGCACAAGTACATTATAAGTTCCAATTTGTTTTGTTTCCTCATTTATCAGCTTTTCAGAGGCCTCGGGGGGAATATCGGAATCATCCAGCTTCGAGGAAAATAGCACCTGTTTCACATCTGAAAAGTCAATACCAGAATATCGAGGGGAATCTTCCTGAAGGCTCTTAAACTCCTCTTCTGCCGATCGCATTCTCTGAATACTGTCAGATTCACTGAAGCTGTTACTTGGATTAAACCTGGAGATTCCTTTCATTTCCAATGGCATCTCTTTCTCTGGTGTGCTGTGTGCACTTGGTAAAGCAAACTCCAAAACATCAAGAGAATGCATACCTTGAAGGGAATGATCTTGAAGTTTTGTTGAGGATTCATTTCCTTGGACAGACTGTTCCCCTGGGGTGCCACCTGTTGTTTCCAAGCTCATGTTTATTGTTGCTTTAGTTTTAGCATCCCCTGTCACCAGAAGGGAAGATCTTCCCTCTTGATCACTGTCTGCAATGTGGTCTTTATATTGACATTCATTTGCATAAAATCCCTCACCGTGTTTGAGAACTGCACTGTCAAGACGTGTTTTTTGTATCCCTTCAGCTGAATCCATTACTACCCAAGGAACTAACCGGGCAGATTTAGTCCCAGTTCCCAATGCTGAACTAGGAGAAGGACTCACAGGTTTTTGAATCTCAGTACCATAACATAAACCTTTAGAGGGCTCAGGAAAACTATAAGAATCTTGACACCTATGTGTGTCTTCCAACTGACAAGACTGACGAGGCCCAGCCTGACTTGTGGCTTGTGGCTTGCGCTCATTCACTGTAAAGGACTCTTCCACCTCCCCTATTTCAGTTACTGTCTTCACCCAGAATTCTTCCTGCACCAGTTTCTTACCGGCGCTCTTTCCCAGGGCATTCTCCTCTTGAAAAGCAGGGCTCAGAAACAACAGTGTGCTAGGTTCCAGGGTGCTTTCAGACTCCTTTGAGATTTCAAGTGTTTCTGCCTGTTTGTTTTCTTCTGGAGAACCACATTTTGATACCAAAGTTGGAGACAGCTGACACTTATATTGTGAGGCATCACCAACTTTGTCTTCCATAGACATGCTCAGTTTTAATGTCTGGTTGTCAATCTGTGCTGTTCCGCAACTATTAAGGGCAGAGGTAGTACTTGGAACCTCAGGAATCTGTTGGTTTTGGTCATTACTGACTGTGCTCTCTGTATTAGATTTGCATTGCATATTTTCCTTTCCCGTTTGGTCCACAGTAGCATTCTCTGAAAAACAAAATGGAATAGATTTGATTATTATTTGATTGTTGCATATATAGACTTTTAGTTTCTTATTAAGTTTGGACTGACTTTAAAACAGTCCAGAAAACAAGATTCTGCTGTGAGGTTGCAAGACCAATAATACAATTTTATTTAACAGCGGTTTTCAAGAAAGTCAAAGCAAAATAACACCCACACAATATACACAGAAGTAGAAAGAGAAAATAACAAATAACTATTAAAAACCAAACCAATTTATACAAAAGTGTGAGTAAAAATATTTGTACATAAGTGAAAGTTAAAAGTCAATAGTTAGAAAATAGATTGGGTATTGAGTTCCATACATGTACAAGAAAGCTCTATAATTCATCACAAGGAGCTTGTTCTTTGACAGAGTAAGAAGTTCCAAATCAGATGGTCACATATAATAGGCAATAACTCCTTAAAACAAGCAGGAACTAGACCATTCAATTCCTTATGGCAGGAGAAATGCATGGTCCAGTTATATTGGGAAACAATGCAATTTGCACAAGATGAAAGGTACGTGCTGATGCAGACAACTTTCAGAGATCACACAAGCTGCAGACATAATAAAGCCTATCCAGTGCCTTAAAATGCTCCACTAAGTAAGGCATCACAGCAGTCTAAACTTTTAGCAGATAAAGTCATTATTTCAGTTCAGGCAGGTAAGGCAAGAGTCAGACACATAAGGTTAGTCTCATCACAGTTTAGCTTTAAAGTTCTGCTGCTTCCATACTGTATCTCAATGTCAACTGATACCTGTTAAGTTTTGAAACAAAAGCAGTCTTGTCTCTGACAGTCAGAAAGTTCAGACATTTCTGTGCCATTCGTATCTTATTAGACAGACACCTGTAAAGTACTGTGATGACACCTTAGTATACTGTACACATACTGTATCACTTGGTCAGCAAGTAAATCTAGTAGTTATGAGGCAATAATGATGGTTGCTAATCTGGACTAGGAGCAACACTAAAAAGTAAAGGTCTCGGTGTAGGACCTAGTGGTATACCTTGAGTAAATGGGAAAGATTTAAAACAGTCAAGAATTACAAACTGGCTCCTGGCAGGCAAACCAATGAAGAAAGGACCAGAGATCCCTGAGCTAGCATGAGCTCTGGAGTGGGAGACCATGACTGACAATAGCAAAAGCCAGCAAGGAACACTGAGAAGACTGTTCAGTGGAGATTCAGAAAATCAAAACTGAAGATATGACATTTACAATTTTGATATTTCATAACGTAGTAATTCTCCTATCAAAAACTGTAAACTATCTTGATATACAAGAAAAAATGATTATTTTACAAATACTAAAATGGCAAAAAAAATGCTAGAATTTTCTATGCCTTTTTATGGGAGCAATATATTTACACAATGATGATGAAAGCAGCAATCCCACCCTGAAAGTCATCCATACCTGGCGCAGAACCTGTTTCAATTCAGGAATGTTGTTTTACTGCAATATTTTTGTAAAAGGCAATTCAGGAATGTTGTTTTACTGCAATATTTTTGTAAAACAAGGACATGGGATCTTTCATGGGCTGGCAAATAAGATCACAGAGTACAGAATTAATTCTAAGGTCTCATGCCACAGCCTTCAACTGCTGGGGTCTCCGGTGACAGGGCTGAACAGCCAAATCAAGTTAGTCTTATAGATCATCTACTGTGTGTCTCAAGACTGGCAATGCTTGTAATGAAGACACAAGTGGCAGAGTCACAATATGAAACACTCGGCCAACACACCTGAAAGAGGAATGTTCCAAAAACGCAGAAGATGGTACACGGTTGATACCAATTACAAATCCCATTTAAACTTTAAAAAAGATTAAAGCAAATCTTGCAGTTCGCCTCAAACAGAATATTAAAATCACTTAGCCTATGATTAGGAACTCAGCTAGAACAACAATAAGAAGACATGGGCTCCCACGGGACCAGGGGTAGAGACCCACAGCTCCAGTCCCTGCGGGCTGAAGGGTACCCCGATTTCTAAACTACTCATTTCAACACAGTACATGTCTAATGGGCCAGAACGGATTTCCAAGACTTGAACTGAAGACTACTTAGACAAACAACTTGTAACCTCTTCTCAGAATGTCTGCATGAGGTTGACACTGATTTGTCTGTGCTAGAAATACAGACCCTCAAGGCTGATTTAAACATATTGAAGTCTAATAGCTTTGCAGCTACTTATACTCCAGGGTGTGTATACTCAACAGCTGAGTACTTTCTGCAGTTTTTTCCATTTATGGTACTGTATTCTGTTTTCTGCAGGTAGATCGGGGTAGAAATGTGTTTCACTCCATTTTCATTTTAACTTTGGATTGTGGGACTCTCGCCCAGTTCTGAATTGGCAAGTGTTGCTCAGATCAGCTTTCCACTCACATAAGAATAGGATGATAGGAGCTGTGCACTTGGCAGAGAAATCCCGCAGTAATACAACAAACCACTGGGACAACTGCAGCACACATTCAAACAGAAAGGTAGCCTAAAGGAAAGGCATTCAAATCCCAGTGACCATTACTATAAATGTATATAACTTACCCTAAGATTAATTGTTAATTTTCTGATGCACATTCACATTTCTTCTTCAGCAGATCAAAAATTAACCTCAGTTCCATAAGTGATTTTTATAAAGAATTAAAACATGAAATGTCAATTAAAGGAGAATGTAACAACTTTCCTTCATATAAAAGGAAAATAGAGTTTTGAATACGAGATCACCAACATTTGGCTATCGTTGGCATATGTACTGAGGATACATGCTTTATTGATTATTTTAGTATGTACATAAAATAAGAGTTACAGTAACAACTTTTCTCAAATTGTGTACTGGAAAGGAAACATTAAAAATTCCAATTCTTAAGGTATAAAGTGACATAAGTACACCACTGACATTTTATGCAGCTTGTAACAATTTCACATAGCACCTTTCCTTAATGGGAAAGTATCTGAGCTGCAGGCTGACAGATCTGGTCTACCTACAGTAGCTGTGCTGTGACAGAAAAGTTATTTTCTGGTTTTCCATAACCACTGAATTTGCAAGTGCCACAGATGAGTGGCACACACACAAAAAAATCCTATGATTACTAGAAAAGGCAAAAACCAGGCTTTTAAATATTTGTACTGAAGAGTTTCATTTGAACAATTTACAAGAGATCTTCTGCATAGCCATAAACATTGTGATAATTACAGTAATTTTAGTTATTCTAAACTTATACTGTGTTTATATCTATACAATTGCAGTCTGGTGGCACTGTGGGTGTCTAAGGGTGTTTCAGAAGCTTTTATTCCTAATCTGTACCTTCAACTACAACTTCTGAAAGTTTTTCTTGGTCTTTATGGTTGAATATTTATGGGGTACAGTGGTGGCTCTGTGCCTCAGGATCTGCACCTGTGGCTGGAAGGTTGCTGGTTTGTATCCTGCAGCTGGCAGAGGAATCCAACTCCGTTGGGCCCATGAGCAAGGCCCTTAACCCCAACTGCTCCGGGGGCGCCGTATAAATGGCTGACCCCGTGCTCTGACCCCCAGCTTCTCTCCCTGTCTGTGTGTCTCATGAAGAGCAAGCTGGGGTATGTGAAAAAGACAAATTCCTAATGCAAGAAATTGTATATGGCCAATTAAGTTATCTTATCTTAAAAGTTAACAAATGAATAACAAAAAAAATTAAAAACCTGATAGGGACCACCAGAGGCAATTCTCTCCAAAACCTTCTTTCTAAAGTAAACACAGAATTTCTGAATCTAAGGTCATGTACAGTATGTCCACAGAATTAAAGCTGGCTGTGTCCATAGTATTCTAACTAGTGGTGCTACGTGTCACCTTCTGCAGCATAACATGGATTTATCATGGTCTGTTATAATAGATACACTCAGCCTTGGAAGTAAAGAGAGTTTAAGATGGTGCAACAGCCCAGGTTACCACTGAAGTAAAGGCTGTACACAGATAAATGTACAGAAGAGAAGAGCCAGAAACAAGACATTCATTGTAGTTATCGAATAAAGAGCTGCAAGATCTCGTAGCCCCTTCCATTATTCAAAGTTTCATTATTTTCCAGTCATTTTTCATTCTATTTACCTGCAGTAAAATAACACAACTCCGAAACATCCACAGCGATCAAACTTTAGATGATATCCCTGAAAATCCAACTCATATTGGCTGCTCATTTAAAAAATATATATACAGCTGATGTTGTTTAGAACTCCCAATTAACTGGATCCCATTTAGTTTTGAGGAGTATCCACCACGCAATGGGATATCACCACTCCCCAGGGGTGGAGAGCTGAGGATGTATCACAATACCAGACATGTCAAGAGCACGGTACCCCATCCCCAGCCTCTCTACACAGAAGACACAAGAGTGGGACACCACCCCATCCTACATGCTTTGTTTCCTCAATGGAGGTACAGTACGTGACTGAGTTTTTTTTTATCTTTACCGTTTTCGAGCATGTGGATATCCAGGTAGAAGCTGCTCTGGATTAAATCACCCTTGCCACACTCCAGAGAGGCACATTCTGCCATTGATGGCTGGACTGCAGTCAGGACCTGGTTGTTTTGATGTGGATTAATCACTCTTTGAAAAAAAATATCTGCGAGCACTTTGGGACTGGGTCTCAAAACCGTGGTCACAAGATACACAGAAATAAAAGAAAACTCATAGATCCAACAGTGGAACTATTTTCATACCTATTGTACATATTTTCAACAATAGTACTGTACATTTTAGGAATATCTGTGTATCAAATAACTGCATACTTTATGTTTAGTTTTACAGCTATAGAAAAGCTTACGTATACATGTATCAAAGTAGTTTAAGTCAGTTTTGTTCTACACAGTAGAGTCTTGCTAATGTGGCAGGTGCTCAGGGCTGTGCCAGGACTCCACAGTGACTGACAGCTGTCTCAGTTTCTGAGCGACAGTGTGGAAGTAACAGCAGCCTGCTGGCAACTAAAAGGGACCAAGGACCAAGGAATAATTGCACATTCAGG